TCTGAACATTGTTGAAACAACAGCAAAAGATATAGATTACTACACAAAAACCTAGTTCATAAAGTAGCAGCAGGGTTTGAGAAGGTTGACTCTAATTTCAAAAAAAGTTCTGCTATGTGCAAAATGCTATCAAACAGCATCACATGCTGCAGTGAAGTTGGAAGTCAATTGATGCCGCAAACTTCACTATTGTCTTATTTTAAGAAATTGCCACAGCCATCTCAACCTTCAGGATCAGTCAGCAGCCACCAACATTGAGGCAAGGCCCTCCACTAACGAAAATATAATGACTTACTGAAAACTCAGATAATCATTAATATTTTTAATCAATAAAGTACTTTTAATTTAAGGTATCTACACTGTTTTTGTAGATGTAATAGGAGGCACACTTAAGAGACTACAGAGGCTGGGCATGATGGCTCACACCTCTAATCTCAGCACTTTGAAGGCTGAGGTGGGTGGATCATTTGAGGTCAGGAGTTCAAGACCAGCCTGACCAACATGTTAAAATCCCATCTTAACTAAAATACAAAAATTAGCCAGGGGTGATGGTGCATGCTTGTTATCCCAGCTACTTGGGAGGCTGGGGCAGGAGAATCACTCGAACCCAGCAGGTAGAGTTTGCAGTGAGCCAAGATAGCACCACTGCACTCCAGCCTGGGCAACAGAGCGAGACTCTCTCTCAACAATAAATAAATAATAAGAGACTACAGAATAGTGTAAACATAACTTTTTTTTTAAAGGCAGGTTCTCACTAAAAGAGGCTAGAATGCAGTGGCCTGATCATAGCTCACTGTAACCTTGAACACCTGGGCTCAGGTGATCCACCTGCCTCAGCTTCATGAGTAGCTGGGACTGTAGGTGTGTGCCACCACATCCGGATAATTTTTTTTTTTTTTAATTTTTTAGAAAGAGTCTTGCTGTATTTCCCCAGTCTAGTCTCAAACTCCTGGCCTCAAGCTATCCCCCTGCATTTACCTTCTAAGCACTGGGATTACAGGCACATTGTGTCCCGCCTAAACATAACTTTTATTATTTTACTTTTACTTATTTATTTACATTTTGAGACAGAACCTCATTCTGTTGCCCAGACTGGAGTGTAGTGGCACAATCTCAGATCTCTGTAACTTTTGCCTCCTGGGTTCAAGAGATTCTCCTGCCTCAGCCTCCTGAGTAGCTGGTGTTACAGGTGCACACCACCACGCCTGGCTAATTTTTGTATCTTTATAGAGACTGAGCTGGTCTTGAACTCCTGACCTCAGGTGATTCGCCCACCTTGGCCTCCCAAAATGCTGGGATTACAGGCATAAGCCACCGCACCGGACCCTAAACATAACTTTTATATGCACTGGGAAACCCAAAAATCTGTGTGACTCCCTTTATTGCAACATTCACTTTATTGCAGTGGTCTGAAACTGAATCTGCAATATATTTGAGGTATGCCTATATACAATAGCATTTCTATTTTTTTCTTTTCTTTTTTTTTTTTTTTTAATAGAGACAGAATCTCACTTACTGTCCAGGTTAGTCTCAAACCCCTGGTCTCAAGTGATCTTCCTGCCTCGGCTTCTCAAAGTGTTGTGATCACAGGCATGAGCCAGTGCACCTGGCCAGCATTTCTATATGATAACAGTCATTTATTAAAATATTATTAAAATAAGCCTGGGCGTGGTGGTTCATGCCTGTAATCCCAGCACTTTGGGAGGCTAAGCCTGGTGGATCACTTGAGTCTAGTAGTTCAAGACCAGCCTGGCCAAAATGGTGAAACCCCGTTTCTACTAAAAACACAAGAATTAGCTAACCGTGGTGGCACACAGCTGTAATCCCAGCTACTCAGGAGGCTGAGGCAGGAGAATCACTTGAACCCAGGAGGTGGAGGTTGCAGTGAGCCAAGATTGTACCACTGCACTCCAGCCCGGGTGACAAAGTGAGACTTCATCTCAAAAAAGAAAGAAAGAGGAAAGAAAGAAAGAAAGAAAGAAAGAAAGAAGAAAGAAAGAAAGAAAGAAAGAAAGAAAGAAA